CATGTATGCAATAAAATACACAACAGTAATTTGCATTCAATAAATTATTTGAGAAAATCAATTACATTTTATCTTTCAGTTATTCGTCTATTTTTTTTTTTTCATTTTTTTTATAACGGTCATAAAAACCATTAATATATATATATATATATGCGGAATCGTGACAACCCAAGATTACATTTAGTGTGGTGTTAAATCATTATAAATTGTTTTCATACCAAGCTTTTAAAATTGATTACGACCTGTACAGAACAATGATTCTTGATAATATATTTCTTTTCTCTAATGGGAAAACAAATTACGTACGTTCTCAGGATTTCATGTTCATGATGTATGCAGTGATTATTTGTTCATACCATATTCGTTAACCTTTTTGGACAATGTCTTTTAGAATATAAAAAGAAACAAATGATAATAACTTTTTATAAATGCCATGAGTCCGAAGCGCTTTTCTGGATTGACCTGCACCAGGAACGTTAAAATACAAATATGTTTGAAAGCCAATGACATATTAGAACCGAAACAGTTGAAGAGCGAAATGACCAAAAAGAACCTAATAAAATAGCCCAAACCATCTAAGGTCAACCTTTCATTAAGGAGTTGATACCTTAGTTTCATTATAATCTATAATTTTCTCAACAGCTAATTTAAGTAAGGTATGTTATAAATTATGTTAATTACTGTATACTGAGCTGATAATTCCCTCTGGGACTCTTAGTGAGTTTACCGTTAAGTTTTGCATCATATATCAAATCTTAGATGCATGATTTTTTTGTTTGGTTGTTTTTGGTTTTGAACAAGCTGTCAGTAACTGCAACTACTCTCAGATCTGTTTCTTCTTGTTGTTGGGATCAGTGGTTTTTGTTGTTTGGATGTATAAGTACCCGTCCACGTGCCCTCTGTGTTTTTGTTAGATGTATTTCTATTTGTATCCATCTGATGAGTTAAGTCTTTATCAACTTTTTTTTTATGATTTGTTCTTATGTTGTACTGTTCCAGGTAAGGGAGAGGGTAGGCACCTTCAAACTAGTTTGACCCCTCCACATTCTATATGTACCTGTTTCAAGGTGTCAGGACCCTGTAATTCAGTGGTTGCGGTTTGTTGCTGTATTGAATATTTGTTTTTTGTTCATTATTTTGTACATAAATTAGGCCGTTAGTTTTCTCGTTTTAATTGTTTTACATTTGTCAATTCGGGGCCTTTTATAGCTGACTATGCGGTATGGGCTTTGTTAATTGTTGAAGGCCGTACGGTGACCTATAGTTGTTAATTTCTGTGTCATTTGGTCACTTGTGGAGAGTTGTATCATTGGCAATCATATCGCATCTTCTTTTTATATATTATGTTGTTCTCCTTTCCCATATTAGCCACGTTTTTAAAAAGATTTAAATTTGTTTATTTCTTGTTTATTCTAAATTAAATATAGGATTGTATCAACGTTGTGACAAGATGTTTGATTTTGCTCAATTGACATGTGTTAGTACCTATTCGAATATATTAATTCTATACATCATCGGTTACATATCTTTCACTTTAGCTTTGGTCCTTGAACTGCATTGCTATCTTCAATATTACTTTGAAAACACTTGGAAACTTTGCATACATATGGCTATTGTGCAGTAAATCATGAAAATGTTAGGTCACAGAATGGTTCATACATCCTTAATTGTATATGTACTCAAATGTCAGATGGTGGCGTATTGGAAAAAAGTCAGATCATTGTCGATCGGAAACAGAAACGAAACAAATATTTTATTAAATAATTAGAAGTACATGTTATGGCTCCAGCTGTATTTTAGGATGAATGGCAAGTAGCGGGGGAATAGCTGTTTAAGATAAGTATACATTGTATATGTATTTTGAATGTCCAATGTCCTCTGACTTTTGCTTAAACTTTTAACGAAATATCGTGAGCCTAAATCCATCAATTGGAAACACAGCTTCAAAATACTGATTGATCCAGTCTAGGATTATGCCAGGCAATGGGTTAAACGCGAGAAAGAAAACATAGATATTCTTTCAGAATTAATTAAGGCTGTGAGGTCGTTGATACAAAAATCAGTCTGTAAATACCTATGCTACAGCAATCTTTAAAGACCCATTTGTTGCAAAACACCTGTTCTACCTCCATGACAAATATGTTGTTGTTCCCGCAGATAAAGCCCCAAAACAATATCGTGTGTGTGTGTAAATTACATTACATAAACTGCTTGATACATGAATTAGGTATTGACAATTCACTTGGAAACCCAACACATACCCCAACATGACTTACCAAGGAGGAAATCCTGGATAGTCGTAGGTTCGTTCTATGTTCCTTTAGAATTTCAACCATAAATGAAGAACTGGATCTTCCTTTACTGTATTAGATACCTAAACTACAAAAATATCCCTACAAACAACGTTATATTACTGGGCCTTAAAAGTGCTCCACGAAACCTCTTTCTAAATTATTAACATCAATTTTATCAGTAATCAAAACCGGGCTTCAAAGTTATTGTGAAACTATCTATTCTAGAGGTGGCGTGAATCAGATGTAGATACTAAAAAGTTCCAAAGATCTTTTAGACTACATTTGGCTTTTCTACACTTTACACAAGTATTCCTCATTCCAAACTAAAAGACAAATTGAGTTGGTCCTGCTATGTTTCCTAAAAAAGAATGGCCTACGTAGATACAATTTTCTTTTCTTAGGGAGGAATAAATCGTACTTTACAAAACATTCTCTGAAACTGACATTATCAAGATGCTTGATTTGTTGATAGACTTCATATTCGTCACGTTTGGAGGACGTGTTTTTCAACGAATAATCGGCATTCCCATGGAAACCAACTGTGCTCCTCTATTTGTAGACTTGTTCCTTTATTCAAATGAGGCTGACTTCATACAGAAACTTCTTAGGAAGAAAAAAAATAAGTTAGCAGTATCCTTTAACCTCACTTTCTGCTATACAGATAATGTTCTCCCACTAAATAATTCAAAATTTGGTGACTATTTTGAACGATTCTATCCCATCGAACTTGAGATAAAGGATACAACAGATACTGTTAAGTCGTCCTTATATCTTGACTTACATCTAGAAATTGACAATGATGGTCGGATGAAAACAAAACTTTACGACAAAAGATATGATGTTAGCTCCCCAATTGTGAACTTCCCATTTCTATGTAGCAACATTTCAGCAGCACCTGCATACTGAGTATATATCCCCCAGTTGATACGATATTCCAGGGCTTGTATTTCCTATCATGTTTTCATTGATATAGGGTTGCTGCTCACAAGAAAGCTATTAAACCAAGAGTTCCAAGTGGTGAAGTTGAAATCGGACGCCATCACGAGTTGGTTGACTGTTGTGGAATATCCGTTTCACAGAAGACAACGGATATGGTTCAATTGTCGTAACAACAATCTCGTCTACTTTTCCCCGAATGTGACCTACCGAATAAGACTTATCATCGGTATTGTACTAACATGAACAACACAACGGGTGCTACATGTGGAGCAGGATTTTCCTATCCCTTATGAGCACCTGAGATCACCCCTAGTTTTTGGTGGGGTTAGTGTTGCTCAGTCTTTGGTGTTCAATGTTGTGTTTTGTGTACTGTTTATAGTTTGTCTTTTTATTTTTAGCCATGGCGTTGTCAGTTTATTTTCGACTTGTGAGTTTGAAGGTCTCTTTGGTATCCTTCGCCTCTCTTTTAACATGACCATCGTTGAAGATTCAAAGGAAAACATTGTTTGTATCAAATCTTGCTAATGGTACGGACAGAAATTTTCCTGCCTAGAATGTAAATGATTGTAGAACCAACTCACTTATCAGACTGCTTAATGTGGTTGCCAAGATGACGATTTTGATTGATCTATTAGTCTCAATGTTCAATATTCCATACTTTGCACTGCAATTGACCTCCGAGATAACCTCTCGAGGTAAAAAGGTAAAAAAAAAACCTGCAAGTTGTGTACGACTTTGACATGGTTGTTTGACTATCAAACCAACTGGAGACTTTGATGGTGTCGAATATAGTATAAGCATTCAATATTTCTATTATTATTTCGTTTCCTTTTCAAAAGGAAGTAAAAACAGATTGTAAAGTGTTACTGTATCTATACATAAACAGCTATATTTGTACGATGTCCTATCGATTTTTCAAGTGATAAATTCATTCTAATCATTGTGATCCATGTATTATTTGTAAATCCAGTACTTATATAGATTTCTATTCTTTTCAGCTAAGACTTTGCTATATATGCAATATTTGTACCGTATAGAACAAAGTTTGATAAAAGGGAAAACAGAAACGTACATACATGCGACGTCTGACCACAAACATTTACACCACTTTAACGTTTTTTAGAACTTATTCATTATCAAAATAAAATCAAAATTAGCCGTGAGGTATGTTGATTCATTAAACATTTGATTCATCCTATCTGTCACCGTATGAAAATGTAAATTTCAATATATAGGAATAGGTGAGACATGGAATGTAACATGTTGAGTTTTAACGATTTATCTTTTGACTACTGGGCTATTTGTTAATATTTAAATGGTGTGTTTCACGTTTTAGGAATTTAACATCAGTGGGAAAATCCTCTTCAACTAAATATGCTAAATGTTATTTGAAATATGAACCTATCTTGAACAAAGCATTAAGTTTTCTCTTTATATGCTATGTATCAATTATAGGATGACATCATTCTATTCACTGAAATACGATTCAAACGTATTTTTCAAATCATATAATTACCGGTGTAATTACAGCGTAGTCGTCATGTGGTTCTATCAAAACCCATTTCTATTCAAAAGTTTTAATTAGAAAATGATTTATAAAAGACCAAGATGCTGGATAAACGATAGTGTGCGAGGATGCCAGTTTCAGTAGGTAATGCTTTCAATTATATTTCATAAATGATAAGCGAGAACATAACATCCAAGGGGTTAATAACTCCAAGAAGCCAGTGGTTGAAAACCAATTTCAATTTAATATAAGAAGTGGTGCACAAAATATACACGGATATGATTGGAAAATGAAAAATTCTAATCCGTCAATACACCAATTACTACCCTTTAGTTTATTACATGTACCGTGATTAAATTGTACACATTGATATATTTGACATATATAGAAATTGTCTAATTTCAGCTCAAATTAGTGTTTATACTCACATAGGAAGAGCAACACACCAACCCCACCACCCATGCCCGTGTAAATTGTGAATAGTAACAAAGTTATCAATGATGTGATGGATAGTTGTAAATAAAGCGAACAAGACATATATAAAATAAGAAGATATGGTATGATTGCCAATGAGACAAAATTCCACTGGAGACCACATGAAGTAAAATTTATCAACTATAGGTCAAGATAAGGCCTTCAACAATGAGCAAAACCTATATCATAAAGCAAGCAATACACGGCCTTGAAATGACAATTGCAAAACAATTCAAAAGAGAACACTAATACCCTGAATTATGTACAAAACAATAAACGCAAACCAAATATTTTTTTTTATTTTACTTTTTGCAGTTCTTGTCTCCTAATACTTTTGTTTGTTCTTGGTTTGAAATCTTTAAAGCTTTCTTCATCTTTGAAAGTATTATCAAAAATATTAAATATGACATTGGTTACACTTTTTTGTAACTATTGCCGCCGAATATATTCAGGATTTTATTTAAGGACGTCTAATATTACTAAATGCGTAATTTTCATTTCTTAATTGGTTCTTTTTTCTAAACCAGAAATATTTTTCATCAATGGGGTTTCTTTTCCTTAGTTAATTAGATGTAAGTAATAATTTGATCAAGTAATATAATGTCTTGCAGATTTTGTTAAAGAGAGGCGACAGATACCAAAGGCACATTCAAACTCATACATGTAAGTCGAAAATAAACTGCCACGCCATGGCAAAAAAGGAAAAGATCAAAAGATAAACAAATGTACACAAAACGCAACATAGAAAACTACAGACTGATCTTCACGAACCCCACCAAAAACCGGGGGTGATCTCAGGTGCTCCGGAAGGATGAGCAGTGTGTATAATATTCCTAACAAAACACTGAAAAATACAAATTTAGCGAAAGTGTTCAAATATTAAGAATAAACATCATTTCTTGTTCTAACATTAATTATATGAAAACAATCCGCTATATTTTTCGTAAGTGTCTGGTTGTCCTGCTTATGCCTTTAATGACTGATCAATTTCTGTATACATTATTCTGTTTTCTATTCCTCGAATTCTGGTTTGCCTGGCTGCAAGTGGTTCCATCAACACCTCCACATATTTCAATCCATCCTATAAGACAATCGTGTGATAATATTCAAATACATAAATTTAATAATACGCATAAGGGTAAATTGTGATCAATAAATTATTTGCGAAAATAAATTACATGCATTTTTAGTTATTCGCTTATTTCATAAGAGTGATAAAATCATTAAACTATGTATATAAAAGCGGAACCGGGACAACCTTAGATTTAGATTTTTGTATTACAAAAGCATTATAAATTGTTTTATACCGAGGTTTATATATTGCTCACGAACTGCATGTCCTGAAAAATTATTCATGATAAATTATTTCTTTTCTCTCAAGGCAAAACAAATTAAGGACGTCAAGATTTCATGTACATGATGTATGCAATGAAGATTTGTTCATACCGTATTTGTTAACCTACACGGACGAGGTATTTTACAATATAATGCAAAAAAATGAAAATAATACTGTACAAATTTCATGTGTCCGAAGCGCTTTTCTTAATTTGCCTTCACCAGGAATGCTCAAATCAGTATATATTTGACAGCTAAGGTTGTGTTAGAAACGAAACACTGGAACAGCTATATGAGCAAAAAGAACTTTATGAAATAGCCCAATCAATCTAAGGTCTACTTTTCCCAAGGGAGATCAAACCTTTGTTTGATAATAATTCATAAATTTATCAACAGATAATTTAGATAAGGTATGTTATAAATCATGTCAGTACGAAGGTACTGAATACTGAGACGATAATACCCTAGGAGATTTTTCATGCTTCAGATGCGCATCACAGTCATTTATGCTAAGTACTGCCATCAAGTTATAGCTTCTATATTTCATGTGCATTTACAATGTTAATTACCATCACAGTCATTAAGGAAAATGATAGGAAACGAAGCCAAGTGATGACAAAGTTGTTCCTGGCCAGTTGAATTAATATTGTATCAAAATAATATCTAATCATTTATTGAAACTTTTAAAAAGATCAAACCAAGAATAACCCAGATCTGCCAAGTTTCCCTCTTCCTGGGGTCTATCCCGCATGAGAGGTGTTCACCTGACTCTTAAAAAACTCAATGATTTAGACTACATACTTAAAAAAGACATTCAGATGAGTAAAAAATACATTTAAGCACATGTATACTAATTCAGAACCATAGATGTGCCTATTAGGTACACTAATGACATGTATAGATATGCATTAGTTACTCGTGCGCACATGACAGTAATTCGTGCGCACAAAATTGTATCATGGACCAGTTTTATATATGTGAACAATATTTTTCCGTTGTTCTGAAAATTGGAGAAACCAAAAATTCTTAATATATAGATTTGTAGTTTTTGCATTGTACTGTGTTGTTACTTGTTTCAGTTTTATAAGGTGCGGGCAAGACTTTTGTGTATTCCTTCCTTTCCCAAGAATTTTGTGTAAGACTTTTATCTCCTTTCACGTAAATATCGTTCGTTTTAAAATTGTAAATGATCATGATCATAATACATAATTATATATATATATATATATATATATATATATATAGGACTCGGAGGTGCGATGGGGACGCTGAAGTGCGATGGTCACGCTGAAGTGCGATGGTCTACGCCGAAGTGCGATGGTCTACGCCGAAGTGCGATGGTCCGTTCGCTGATGTGCGATGGTCTATTTGACGCTTGACGGCTAGTTTAAAATATACAGATGTGCAGTTATTATGAGAAGTACATGTAGATTTCTTCAATAGTTAGTAAATGAATTTACATTCATTATTGTATATGTCAGTCCTTAATTACAGTTGCATACTAAATGAGAGATCGTCCTCTATGATTTTCTACGTGTGGACATAATTCTGCATTAACATTTTATCTTTACTTTGTTCCTCTCATGAGTTCCTCGTTTACCGTAATATAGTAATACGGAGAATCTGTCTGCGAACCCGTATGTATTTACAGAATGTCACGCTCCATCGTACGTAAAGAGGAACCTTTTGAAGATTTCGGGAGAAAAAAAACGCTACAGAAGGTTAACTTTCCCCTATCCATCAATCCCCCCGTGTCTCGTAGTATTCAAAGTTTATAAGCCCCTTATCAACTTACAAACATGGGAAACTGCTCTTAACATACACATTGACTTCTACATCGACATGAAAAGAATTGAAAATGTAGTTTGAGTAGACCATCGCACTTCAGCGTTATCACCATCGCACTTCGGCGTAGCTATAAACAAGATAGCGTCACAATGCCACCATCGCACTTCAGCGTGATCAAAAACTCACTTCTGCGTCAAACCATCGCACCTCACCGTGACCATCGCGGTTCGGAGTATCATCGCGGTTCAGAGGTGCGATGGAGACGCTGAAGTGCGATGGTCACGCTGAAGTGCGATGGTCTACGCCGAAGTGCGATGGTCCGTTCGCTGATGTGCGATGGTCTATTTGACGCCTGACGGCTAGTTTAAAATATAGAGATGTGCAGTTATTACGAGAAGTACATGTAGATTTCTTCAATAAATGGTAAATCAATTTACATTCATTATTGTATATGTCTGTCCTTAATTACAGTTGCATACTAAATGAGAGATCGTCCTCTTTGATTTTCTTCATGTGGACATAATTCTGCATTAACATTTTATCTTACTTCTTCTCATGAGTTCCTCGTTTACCGTAATATAGTAATACGGAGAGTCTGTCTGCGGACCCGTATGTATTTACAGAATGTCAAGCTCCATCGTCCGTAAAGAGGAACCTTTTGAAGATTTCGGGGAAAAAAATCGCTACAGAAGGTTAACTTTCCCCTATCCACCAATCCTCCCCGTGTCTCGTAGTATTCAAAGTTTATAAGCCCCTTATCAACTTACAAACATGGAAAACTGCTCTTAACATACACATTTATTCTACATCGACATGAAAAGAATTGAAAATGTAGTTTGTGTAGACCATCGCACTTCAGCGTTATGACCATCGCACTTCGGCGTAGCTATAAACAAGATAGCGTCACAATGCCACCATCGCACTTCAGCGTGATCTAAAACTCACTTCAGCGTCAAACCATCGCACCTCAGCGTGACCATCGCGGTTCGGAGTACCATCGAGGTTCAGAGTCCTACATATATATATACTTCTTTCATACCATAAATGTATCAAAAAAAATAAAATAATAATAATAAGAAGAAGAAGAATTAAAAACCATTTGTTCAGAGAACAATTGAAGGTCTTTCCACCCCAAATAGACATATCTAGACAGGAAAATATTCAATTTTAGTTTAATGTTAATTCTGGTGTCAGATAATAGATTAATTTATGCTGATTCCGAAAATATATTCTTTCCATATACTTTTGCTAAAAATAAGGGAGATAAGTAGGTACTTCCGGTTTATTAAATGCTACTCCCAGATACATTTGAAACTTACTTCACACTGATTCCAAAAATATAAAGTTCTCGTAAATTGTTCATGAAAATAATGCAAAAATGGCTACTTCCGGTTTACAAAAGGTCACTTTCGGTTCACCTTCTTCAAGGTCATATATCTGTAACCCAATGTAAAAGACCCTCTGACTTTATCTTGAACCAATAAGAAGTAAAATCAAAGGTAAAAATCTAGAACGTCAAATTAAATTTTGACCTTGACCCCAATTTCAAGGTCATTAAACAAGGACCTTAAATCAAAGGACTCTAGGTCTCTACTTTATATGGTTAATAAGTTATATCACCATACGGCTAATTTAAAATATAAGAGGGGAGAAAACTCCCATTGAATGTATACTTACCCTTTAAACCAAAATTTGACCTCATTTTCTTTTTTATGGATCAATGACCTCATGTGAAAAGACCCTAGGTCTCTACTAATAATGGTTTGCCAGTTACAAATACATTTAACTTATATCAAATACAGAAGGGAAATAACTCTCATATGGAATCACTATACTGCTTCGGTCAAAATTAAACGAGACATCCTGAGGATATAACGAGCAATTTGGGAAAATAAATTTGTCGGTTTCTTCTACAGTTGCGGAGTATTTGAAAAAACAAGAAAAACAGTGTTCGGGAAGATAACTCTTACATGGAAAAGTATTCGGTTAAGAAGTTTCAAAAGCGTATAAACTGGTCGATATAATATACATAATATCTAAGCGACATCTTGCGAAACAACCAAACAGTGAGGGAAAAAAATTAGGCGGAAGAAAAAAAAATAATAATCAGAACAATACAATAGGTCTTCCCACGGAAAAGTGGGAAGACCTAATAATGATAATATTGATAAGAAGAAGAAGGACTTAGCCTATCAAAAAAGCTGATACTGAACGAAACAGGCCTTACGGCAAAGTTTAATTGAAAATCATAGTGTTTTGTTGCACGTTCTAAGAATTTATTCACTATTGCGTTAGATTTTGAGAAACGATGAATTTGACTAGCTTTATTACTTCCTTATTATCTGTAGATGATTTTTTTTATGTTGTTTGTCCTTCTTCAGTTGATTGTTAACGATTGTCCTCATTTATATTGTCTTAAATTTATCATCACATTTAGTCTTTTGTATATTTTGTTATGATAAGAGAAGTTTGAAATCTGTAATAATGTCTTGGATATTCTATTAATCCCCCAATTTGCTTCTTCGACATTCCTTCCAGAAATCCTTCATTCCATTTTATATCATTCGATAAATAAGATACACTATCGTCTGTATCTAGTAAATTGTTTGAATCGTTATGATGAGTATTTCGTGGAAGCAACATGCGTCTTGCGGACAAAATAAAAAAAAATTATACCTTTGATTAGGTTTTTATGTAACGATCACATATCATATTTCATACATCAGAGTTTTATCCTTTACCACCAAAAAGCAGGAGGTTTTGGTTTATGAATTTAAATCGGGTTAATGAAGGTCTACTTTCTGTGTACAATAGGCAATGATTAAATCCCAGTTGTAAGAAGTAGAGCTTTTGATATTTCGTTCCTTAACATTGAGAAGAAATTAAACTGCAATCGGTGATTTTTCTGAAACAGTATATATATATATCATACATTGATGTTTCCTGTATGCAATGTTTTTATCTTATAGCTTTGTGTCAATTGCATACACTGGGAACTCGGTTTTGAACGTGATTTGAAACAAACCAATAAGTTTAAGAACATATATTTTGCTTACGGATTGCTCAGCTGGTTCATCAATGAGATCAGGCTGTTCTAAAATAGAAGAAATATTTCACAATTCGTTTGTTTGTTTCCAACGTCGCGTTTCCCTTTTAAATAACTAGATTGATATTAAAGAAACTGTTCACAGCTGTTGAACGGTACCTATAGATGTACATAAAAAAATATAAACCTGGTCCAAAAGGGAGATAATTCAATTCAATTTGCAAAACGGCGGTAGTTCATATTTTTAGTTTGTTTTTTATTAGAAACTATCCTTATTTAATACTCAGTTAGAAAAATGGAGAAAAAAAATATTAAAATGATTTCATCAGCATCCATAAATAAGTTGATAACAAAATTGTAACAATGCACAGCAAATGCAATGTATTGCTAATTTGAATGAAAAAATTTTACAACCCTTTACAAAGGAGACACGAGGGAATGTATCACATGACAAATAATAGCGAGTGAAGGACAACTTTGCAATCAAATATACATGATATGATTGGCAAAGGGTTTATTTAACTTTCAAATTTGTCGAATCTGTTTAGGATAAATACCTTTCTAAAAAGTAGTAAATTTTCACCAAAGAGGCACCTGGCAAAAAAAAATTTGTTTACCTAACGCTGTAATGATGGCATCCTTATTTTTATTGGAAGTATAATAATGATAACTGTAACGGATTAAGAAGCGTAAAATTATTAAAATGTATGCTTAAAAATTTAGGGTAAGTTAAAATGTCGAAACTTTATTCAATACACTTTTTCAGAAATTTTATAATGATCCATCGATTTCATTATGTTTCTTTTTTAATTCATTTTTAAGATTTGATATTTTCTATTGTTATCATATGGAAGAACTTTGAATACCATGCTTATTTTTACTGCAGCGATATTGCATTTATTTCGACGACATCCATTTGAGTAGGATGATGCGAAAAAAATAAAATGTAATTAATGGAGACATGTACAAATTATCAACTCTCATCAACAATTTATCCTCAAATATTCGCATTTACATTTTATTTAACCTCTTTTCGTGTACAAATAAACTTTATCAACATTGGCAACTTTTGGCCTTTTTGATTTTAAAACAGACGTGTAGCCGTAATATGATTACTTTATGAATTAACCAAAATTCTTTGCTCGTGATCTTTCCACTTATGACGAAACACCTTTGAGTTTTTTTTCAGGGTAAATAACATTTATCGTATCTGTTTTCTTGACTCTTAGACAAAGAGTTTTTCAATCGCTAGTTATTTTGTGTATCCTATTGCCTTAATATCTCCGTTTAATTCAATTTGAAGCATTTTCCTCAGAACTTTTACACAAAATGTTTGTAAATATTCGTCTGAAGAAAGTTTTCAAAAACATGTTAGACATTGAAGAAGACGGAAGTCGACTTGATGGAGAGTTGTCTCATTGGCACTCATATCACATCTTCTTATTTCTATTGACTATTGATTGACATCACATTTTATATATGACTTATTTCTAGCAACATACAACCATGGGAAGTAATTAAACTATAAGTAAGAGTCACATGATATAAATATCATGAATAAAGTACAAACCGTTTTGCCATGTGACATAGGTTACACAAAAATGTAACAAATATTTTTATATATACCTGCAGTATCTTCAGTTAAATTATTCCTGAAATAGATGTTTGTTAGTTTCTATTATAAAAAGGTCGTGTATGGTATAAATGGTTTTTTTTCGAAGGAAATCATATTAACCGTAAAAACAGACCCACAGTTGTTTCAAAACAGGTCAATGTTTTGAAGTGTTAAATATAAAAAAAAAAACATTGTTTGAAAACAACTATAGAGTTTAGAATGATATTATTATGATTAATTCAACTTCACAGACGATTTTGAATTGTTTAGTATAATTTTAGTATGTATTATAACACACTATATTATTAATCGAATATTATAAAGGATTTGTGATTCGTTAAAACTTGATCACATGTACATTTGCATTTACTTAGTTTGCACGCCAGCACTGTTGTGTTTAGCTTTTCATAGGTCAAAACAGCATATTGCACAGAGTATACAGCATGTTACTAAAAATACATTCTAGAGGACCCCAATTTTACATTGTTCATGCAATAGTTGTTGATTAATAATATAACAATTGTAGCCTTTGGTTGAGGTCAATACGATGTTATATCGACCTAGAGAAGCATATTGACCTCGGACTTCGACCTCAGTCCATATGCTCCTGTTAGGTCCATATAACCTCGTATCGACCTCATACAAAGGCTATAATTGGATAACATTTACAACATAATATCAACATTCAGGTGTTATACCTTAGATATGAGAGGCAACTCTTACAAATGTAATTGAAGTCATTTGTGCGTTTTAACCCAGCAGTAATTGAAAAAGTGATCAAGCATTTATGTTGTTTACATATGGATATGAGAGTGATACAGAAACACATATGACAAGAAATGACTCTTGACATCATTTAGATAAATTCTTAGATGGTTTGGGAAAAATTTGATTGGAGAAAAATGGATTGAATAGAGAAATTTTAAGGTTTTAGTGCTTATCTATTTGTTGATAGGCTGAACTTAACTGTATTGTTTAGTTTTTAAAAAAAACCGGCAATATTCTAGAAGATATGATCTATCCTAGAACAAGGTAAGGATAACAGATAACCTACATAAATACAAAGATAATACTAAGATAGTGACAGACTATTAAAACATTGAATTTAGCGTCAGCTGACTCGATGATAGGGACATTTTATAGTCCTTGGGAGGGAAACCAACTTAACGAATTATAGTGTTGATATGTTTATTCGTCCTTAGGGCAATTGTCCAAAACTGAATATTACTGTTGTTTTACAAAATTGACAACAAACATTATTGGGACCATACAATTTTCACTTAAGCACACATATATGATGCAAATAGAGACTAAAAAGGTTCCATAGAAAGAAAAAAACTTTTTCCCAAAATTTTCTTTTTTTCTTATGTACGAATTTATAAATTTCAAACGGTCAAATTAATAAAAGTTTGTGATTTTCAATGTTTTTTAACAATAATTGTGTCAGCAACTTTTTGCAGGAGTTAAACGATATGTTTTTTTCTGCCAAAGTTTGATAAAAAAATGTGATATCTGAGGTGGCAAGAATTTTCGACTAATTCAATAATTTTAAACCATCTATTGACATTGAGCTACACATATTACCATATCATTTCAGATTTACTTTAAAATATGCTTCAACTACCCATTTTAACAATCATGAACCTGTGCAAAACCACACACCAGTTTATGCCTACAAGTCTTTTTGATCGTGTTTAAGGGTACCCCATACATTATTCAATATACCTTAAACATAAAATGCAGTGGTGATTTACACGAAGACTTTGGCAGATGATGCATTGACACCTAACCTTTTTAGTGGTGTAGATATCAGAAAAATTAAACAACGAAATTTTGGTTTACCAAGTCATACCCTTTAAACTTTTTTGTCGTGTATAAAATAAACAAAGGCATTAGACAATTCTGTATGCATATCAGGCTTTTTTAAAATGGTTATTTCATGACTACGCTTTGGTTCATCAGGGTTTCACCTACTCTTAATAATATATATTTTTTCTGTAGTCTTTCAAGAAAATGATTATTACATTGTATAGACCCGATTACTTTGTGCGTTGACGTTAAGTTAAATAAAGGGGATTCGGGGATCAACAAAATATCAAGTCAATGTCGTTTATAAATCACCTTAAAGGATATATCCTATTAACCGGGAAAAACTAAAGTAGTGTATATCCTATTATTCATAGGACTGATCAAGATTAAGCAGATAGCTCTCGGAATCTAGCATTGAACATTCGCATTAATGATTTTAAACCGAGAGTTGCAAGTGATGAAATTGAAATCTTCCATTCGAAAAATGTACAAACGGTATCATGAGTTAATTGACATTTATGAAATATCTGTTTCACAGATGACGACCGATAAATTCCAACTGTCGTAAGCACATCCGTTATCTTTTCCTCGAATTTGACCTACCAAATAAGACTTGTCACCGTGTTTGTACTTACATGAGCAGGACGCCGGGAGTCAAATGTGGACAGGTGACACAGGACCTGTTTACCATTCAAAAGCACATAGGATCATCTCCGGTTTACACTAGAATTCGTGTTGCTTATTCTTTAGTTTTCTATTCTGTCTTTTGTATACAATTGATTGTTCTTTGTTCGTGTTTTTGCCATGACGTTGTCAGTTTGTGTCCGAGTTTAATTGTTCCTTTTGTATCTTTCGTCTCTATTTTGCACTAAACAGACACGATGAGTCGTTTTTATGGGTACTTTCAAAATGTTATACACTACACGGAGACATATTGAATTATGCAGACATTGTCCCAGATAAGGGAAGGGTTTAGCGCACACAAACATTGCAATCATTTTTTAATATGCCTGTCATTAGTAAAAACCTTTTTGTTCGGTATTTATTGTTGGTTGCCGTCTGCATGTAATAATTTAATGTTATAGGCTTCAACCAGTCCGTTAGTGGTTTTTTTGTTTGTTGTTGCATAGGTTTTGTTGTTCGATTAAACTCAGAGTAATACTGGATACACATTTAAACAAAAGTACATGTAGGTGCCAACTAGGAACTTTTGCGTAAATAATCAATATCTTTTTGAATATGAAACTTTACCTTTCTGCATCTCTTCTGAATGACACAACGAAGGAATTCATTTTGGTACCTACAAACATTTTGACGAATCTTAGAAGAATTTACTTGGCAATAATATGCACTGATTAACAATTGATTGTTCCTCTGGATCGGAGAGATTGAATCGTTCTGTAATATTTTCATAGCATTGACACAAGTATTAATGAAAGAGTTAAGGAATACTTTAATCACTTTATTGCAGTACAGTTATTTTGTCATGTCATAACGACTTTATAATCTTTTCAAAGGTACATAATGTAGCAAATGACCATTTTGAATGACATGTTTAGTTTGATTAAATGTAAGAATCAGCTTTTTCAAAACATACGCTTGAATAATATTACATCATACATACAGAAATAGATCGTGGGTTTCATGAAATTTAGATACGTAATTGCAATAGGCTTGATCACATAATTTGGTTGGCTGACAAAGGTTAAACCGAAATCATCAACCAAACAGAGTCATATAATTGCAATAATTTAGTTTTCTATGTTGTGTTTTGTATACTAATGTTTGTCTGTTGGTCTTTTTTCTTTTTTTAGCCATGGTGTTGTCAGTTTGTTTTCGACTATTGAGTTTGAATGTCTCTCTGGTATCTTTTGCCTCTCTTTTTGAATAAGACTGTTGATCATACATTGTTTCTATTTTTTCGGAACCTTAACATATGTATTGTCCGGGATTAATTTGAAAACCTGGTAAGAAAAGGAGATCAAAATTTCAATATTGACAAGGAAACCCAACATATACTCCGACGAAGCTTACAAAAGAGGAAATCTGAAAAAATGATATATCCGTTTAGTTTATGTTCCTTGAGAATTTCAACCAAAGATGAAGAACAACTAGATCTTTCTTTATTCTACTAGATACCCAAATTAGATAAATGGATGTCAATAACGTTGTATTGCCAGGTTTGCCATTTGTTCCACACAATCTCCTTCAAAATAATCCACATTATTTTGTTTAGCAATCAAACCGGGATTCAGAGTAGCTGTGAAACTCCCCTGCTTTTGGGGTGATATGAATCAGATCTTGATACTAAAATATTTAAGGAACTGTAAAAAATCAAATCTAAGACCCTCTGCTATTTCAACAGTATAAAGACATTTGAATGATGTACTCTTTACGCTAGTACTTTTTACTTTATGCATAACGACAGGGTGAAAACAGTCAATGTTTATTTTTATAAAACAGGCTGGCAAGCTGATTAGTCTTGAAAAGAAAACCGGGCGATTTGCGTACGTAATTATAAGTATTTAATCATCAGTATTTTTGGTTGTGTTTATTTTCATTGTATAGCACTGTTTTCATATTTTTGTTATGTGCCTCACCTAAAGTTCCCCATTTCCTTCGAGCAATGAATCCAAGAATTGTCATTGATATCCCAAGCAGAAAAGCAACGATCAAAGTTATCGTTAATTTAGAGTTAGGTTTTGCATGTCTTTGGTTGGCTGGTGCTACAACAGATGTATACACGTGTTCAACTATATAAGACTAATTTAAAATAAAAAGTGTAATCGAGCTTTAAAGACTAAATAATTGCATAACATGTATATTTATTTAGAATCCGTAATATAGATTGGATGCCAGCAATCGCCAGGCACTCCAATCTCATATTTTATTTCAGTATAAAATACATCAGCTATGACTGCACGTGCTATGCTAAATAAATACATAGAAAAACAAACGAAAATATTTATTCACCTCTTGATTTCATGGTTGTAGCATGAAAATGTAACTATAAGAATTTACTGCTTCTTTTAATAATTGTATTGGGTAGTAAAAGCGAAGATCGCGTGCTCATTTTAATATGAAGCGCTTCTATTTTCCATTGAACTATTGTTGAATTCACTCTTGATCATCCGTTATAGAATATAAACAAGATATATCCTTATAATGATATCGTGTATACTTGATAATTTGTTCTAATGTACTTACATTGAGAACCTGTTTCCTTGACATTTACTTGAATGCCTGGTGTGTGTCCTAAATCCCTTCTTCTTTCATATCCGATTCTACTTGTTTCAACGCCTTCATCTTTGAAGAAAAGAAATGAAGGTGTAATCAAAATATACGAACATTGTCTACTTTGTATCACATATTTATAACTATTAAATGTCAACCTTGTCATAATTTGGTACTCGTGAATCTTCGATCGACCAGGTAAATTACTCATCATAGATACCAGGCCTACATTTGTGTACACTAGACGCGCGTTTCGTCTACAAAGACTCATCAATGACGCTCGAATAAAAAGAAATTAAAGCCAAATAAAGAACGAAGTTCAAGAGCATTGAGGACCCAAAATTCCGAAAGGGTTAGCCAAATTCTGCTAATATAATCTTTTTCTTGGATAGAAATTTCTTTACCCCCTCTCTAATCTCTTTCGCTTTCTCCATTATACATGATTATATATAATATCAACATGGAGTTAATGAATAAACTGATGTGTTGACATATACCGTATTGTTTACCGAGCAGCAGTTTTAGCGAGTTTGGTCTGTAATGTTTATAAGGAAATACCACTCATTCGAAAATACCAGTGAAATTTCAGTTAATCAAGTGTAGTAAAAGCTCACAACTTGCTCCGAATCAAAGCTTCACGTGTTGACAAATAAAACACATTTCTATTGTACGTAAATATTTATCGATATTCTTTCAATTTAAATCGAGGAAATATTTATTAATAACACTCTAAAGAATTTAAAAAAACCACACCAAATTTTCACTGAGGAGATACAACGGAAGCAGTACACATACTATCTTTGTTTTTCAGATTGTGAACGTATATCCTTGAACATCTGTCTTTTTATCTATTGTATTTTTTCAGCAATCATACAATATCTTCTTATTTGCATTCGTATTTTATCTATCTAAGACAAAATTTTAAAAAAGTACAATCGAAACATTGGAAATTTTTCAGACTAACTTCCTCAAAAAAACTACGTTGTCAGCTTGAACATTCTCAAAAATGTAGTCGAACCAATTAAAACGTTTTTAGAATTGACGACCTTAGTTGTTCATATACTATTTCATCGTTCCAATCTGACAAGAAGATGTGTATGCTTCTTCTCAATATTCTATTCGTTGATGTGTTAGAAGGTTTCTATAAAAAGAAATGATTCATACATCTCTATAAATATGTTAAAATATAACATGCTGGAAAACATTGCTTGTTCCATGTTTTGTATCCGTGGAACTTTGATTTAAAGTTTTGAACTATGAGTATTATTTGTATAATGAAGCATCGTCAAATTGTATAACGATTTGAATTGGTATACATACCTAATAATGAAACGTTATACTTAGTTTCATTAAATGTTCCGTTATCATGGTCATTGAAACATCTGCAACTATAAAACCCGGTATCGACCTTTTGGAAATTGAAAATAGTCAAGTCATAGTTTCCATTTTTTGCCTTCACGGAATATTTATACATGCTCAGTTTCGGGTTTTTGAGATAATTTGAAAAATAAATCAATGCTTGTTCGTTTGTTAAATTGCTGAAATCTGGTCCTAACCAACTTCTCATAACTCCGGAGCTTAAACATTTCAATATTACTCGTTCTCCTCTTTGAACCCTGACTGTGACTATACCATTACCATTTCCAATGCCTGCGAATACAGAAGGTACGAACACCAATAGCACACTTTAAATTATTCTTATAATAAGAAAATAAAGGATGAGGTTATCAAAAAATGACACAAAATAACTCACAAGCATGAAGAATACACAGAAAAGGATGTGATTTTAATTTTCGTCATCATTAATTCTTATATGACGACCTATTATCGTCAACCAGTATAATCACAGTATATCTACCTTTAGCGCAAGCGCATAAATACACAAAACTGGCTGTTCCTCGTTTCGCCCAACTTAATTATACTACCAGGATTTCTCAATTTTCGACATCAAAACTCACAGTTTACATAGGTCAAGATTCAGATACAATATAGTTATCTCTATTCTAAAGCAAAACAAACAAATCAGTCCATTTCAATCTACGTTTCATGGTAAAATTTCATAAAACGAAAATTCCGCGAAATGATGTTATCGTCTTTGCATGGCAACGAAACAAGGTAATGTCATTTGTATGTTTCGGTAAACAAATATTCAAATGTAAACAGCGGGCGTTTTAAAGCTTCTTGTACGCCTCAGAATGCAATAAAATTACATTAGAAGGACATATATAGGTGAAAAGTGCGATTTAAAAAAAATATTATTGAATTATATAATATTACTTATATTATCATATTGGGGTAAAACGGAACAGCCGAAACAATATCGTGTGTATAGGGCTTTCACGGTTAACAAAATTACCGAATTTGTCCTATTAGAATCGCTCAGGGTAAAATAATCGAATATAAATGCCCAACCCATGGTTAAATGCAAACAAATCTACGGCTGCCATGAATTATTTCTTCAGGAACAGTGAGTTCATGGGCGCCGTCTTTTAAGTGTCTACCACTACCTCTGCTGTCGGACATGTGGAAGCCAAATATTTTCTTTTTGACATAATATAAACAATATGATCAAAATGCAAGAAGAAAGCAATGCAAACGGGACATCAAAAGTTCAAAATACTGTTTGTAACAATAGACATATTTCAATACACCGTGGTAATATTGATATCCCCTGCAGTCGTTAAAACGTTGTAAAAATTATAAATAAGACCACTGCATCTTGTCCAATTCAACTGGTATCATTTATTAATTTGATATAAACATTTTAGTAAAGTTTCAATGATATTCTGATATGTTTATTATGTAATACTAAGCAACTACTTTATACAAAGTTGATCTAATATGATTTGGGCTATTTTCTTTTGTCGTGCTTGGAAAAAGAAATCATTTAAATAATGGATATATTGTTGTTTCTTTAGTCGAGCTTTGAAATTGAAATCATTTAAATAAAGGATATATTTTTATTTCTTTAGTCGAGCTTGGAAACTGAAATTATTTAAATAAAGGATATATTGTTAAAAAGGACATACATTCATTACAATAGAGATTAATGCATTAATATGTTTAAATTTAGAGTTCCTTTAATCGCCAGTGATGATGAAATTGGGATATACCAAAATTATTGAGAGAATTGTTTAGATGCATCCTTTTCGATTAGATAGTACTTAAATGTTCTGTTTTATGACACACAAAAACCGATTTATTCTGCGACATTTTCCACAGTTACTCAAGCTTTGCGATTGTATCGAATAAAAACATAAAGCGTGCTACAAACAAAACAGATTGTTATATTCATTAAATAAAAACAGCAGTCGGAAAAGTAACAAACCAAACCATTCTTCCCGTTTGCTTAGTGCAAAGAGGAATATTTGAAATGATTTTACTCCTGTATCTCATGACTTCTATATTGTATACTAAGGAATTGCTGTTTCATATGTAATTCACCGTAATTTTATTTTGATTTTATCTATATACCTGAAACTATTTGCAAATGAAATGTTATTGCCATCAAAATAAATACTGGCGACATTTTCCAACACTATCCACTATGCCTGAAAAAGAATTTATGACATGAAATTATTTGCTAGTTGTCCCAATTTAAATGATATAAAAAAAAAAAAATTATAAAACTCATTTTTCACTCACTGTTACTTTTACTATTTGTTTACACTAAGGTGTGGTCGAACTTTCACCAAAAAAATTATATTTCAGGGTATTTCACCAGATGATCTAGCTTTGATAAATTCAGTGTTGCATTCTGTTCCTTTTTCCTTTCCTGGTTTCCTCTTCTTTTTTCGAAAAGTTTTTTAGTAGTTTCTTTTCTATTGAAGGAGCAAGTTATCAGAAGAGAAAAGGATCTTATCTTCAAAGATATTGTAATTGAAAGTCATTTGTATAAATGAATAATTACGTTATACACCGATAAGATCATCTTTGTACATGAATATTTCTATTTTATTCCTTTTGTGATGGTATGTGAAATTAAATGGATACGAATGACAATCATGGTATGTAACAAACGTTTTTTTGCGAACACATTTTTTCTAATTTGCAGACCAAAAAAAAAACAAAAGTATAGAAATTACTCAAATAGCATGAATTAGTAAAAACAAAATCGATGAGAAACGATAAAAACAAATAAAAATGAATCTGCTTAAATACGATAATTAACACCTTCGGCTTCTCGTGAGACATCATCTGCGAATTGGTTATACAGAACTTCAAACCTGAAAATTTGATAAACAATGTTCTGGTCCGAGTACACAGTTATTTCGTAGTGCATTTCTTTTAGACAATAAATGAAAATAAAAAAAATCCCACCTGCGCTTTCTCAATAATATTTTTACAGTGTGTTGTACTACTTTTGGGACAAATTATATCAAAATTATAGAAAACTTCATCGGCTCTAACTCAAAATATGGACAATTCTATGTTAAGGGGGTCTTGAAATCTTTTGACAGCTTCCGAAGTGCTAATTTTTAACCTTTTTCAGCTGGACCAAATCACTACTTTACTTTACAATTCATGACCCAAATTTTTTTACAGTGTAATTTCATCCCCCTACTTGCTATTTGAGGCATAAAACATGAAGAAATACATTTGGAAGGGGTACTAAAAAAATTGGCAAGCAACACACTGTCCACACTAGGGACTTTATTCGTGGACAACGAAAATCAAAGGACGATAACTGTGTACTCGGACCTAATAGGATAGAAAAATTTGACCAATCTTAATAAAACTTGGTATGACTAAAGCTTAATAAATTATGAGACTGCTGACAAAGTTTCATGGCAATAGGATATATATTATAGACAATATGATAAATTCTATATTCAACTTCGCGTGTTAAATTTTGACGTTTAAATTGAAAAATTTCAACTATCGACATTTGGGGCTTTAAAAATTAAAATATTGCAAAAAATTACATTTTAAAGGGCTTTATATATGACATATTATGTATTTAAAGCAATAGAATACTCATTTGATTTATCAGACTTATCACAATTATTTAAAAGTCAAATTTATATGAGCCTGTGCCAAAAAATGGAGGTTTTCCAATGAAGGGGGGCCTTACATGAAGATGTATTATTTTCCAGCAATTTTAAATTTGTGGAGTTTTTTGGTTATAAATAATCCTTACATATGTATTAAATGTACTTTAAATGGAAAGAAAAATTACAAATAGCATACCATATTAGTATAAAAGGGTCTTAAGCCAAGTAAGACTGAAAATAATTTAGGGTCAATTTAGGCCGTAGCACATATTTACATTTAAAAATGCATACTGAAGCTATAGGAAATAAAAATTTGTGTCTCTTTTATAATTTCTATACTCAGGTTACATGATACAATAAATCTGAGAATAAAGGGACTCTTGCATTCTACTTTTTTTGCAGACAGTATGGTCTGATACAAAGATTTTTCACTTTTTAGTGAAAAACTCGCATGCAATTTTAGCCTCAGCAGGCTTATATTTGAACCACTTGCTATTTAACATAAGAAAAGAAAGATACTATGTGAAATGAAACAGGTACAAAAGACATTGTGAAGTGCTTTTAATACAAATTTAGTGAAATCTTTATTATGGACTTCAACTTTTATGTACCTAGGTCCTCACATTTAACTTGATCCAAACAGGCCGTTACACGAGGGTCATTTATACAACACATTTTGCACATATTGTCTGAGATAATCTTATTTTCTGTAGATTCAGAGTTCACAAATGAGTAATACAACTGGGTTAAAGCATAGAAACACAAATATTGACACAGGAAAACCTGTCACATAGAAAGTCAGAATGCCATTTATGCATCAAAATTGAAAAAGCTTTGAAATGCTTATTTTGACCATATAATGCCAAAATGGGTAATTTTTGCAGAATTTCTATCAAATAAAAGTTTAAATCCTTTAGTTTCATGCTATCTGACAAATTGACACCATTAAATCATTCAGGGAAGTTGCCAAAGTACAGATTCTATATTTACTGATTTCGCCTCTTAGGTCCGAGTACACAGTTATTTCGTAGTGCATTTCTTTTAGACAATAAATGAAAATAAAAAAAATCCCACCTGCGCTTTCTCAATAATATTTTTACAGTGTGTTGTACTACTTTTGGGACAAATTATATCAAAATTATAGAAAACTTCATCGGCTCTAACTCAAAATATGGACAATTCTATGTTAAGGGGGTCTTGAAATCTTTTGACAGCTTCCGAAGTGCTAATTTTTAACCTTTTTCAGCTGGACCAAATCACTACTTTACTTTACAATTCATGACCCAAATTTTTTTACAGTGTAATTTCATCCCCCTACTTGCTATTTGAGGCATAAAACATGAAGGAATACATTTGGAAGGGGTACTAAAAAAATTGGCAAGCAACACACTGTCCACACTAGGGACTTTATTCGTGGACAACGAAAATCAAAGGACGATAACTGTGTACTCGGACCTAATAGGATAGAAAAATTTGACCAATCTTAATAAAACTTGGTATGACTAAAGCTTAATAAATTATGAGACTGCTGACAAAGTTTCATGGCAATAGGATATATATTATAGACAATATGATAAATTCTATATTCAACTTCGCGTGTTAAATTTTGACGTTTAAATTGAAAAATTTCAACTATCGACATTTGGGGCTTTAAAAATTAAAATATTGCAAAAAATTACATTTTAAAGGGCTTTATATATGACATATTATGTATTTAAAGCAATAGAATACTCATTTGATTTATCAGACTTATCACAATTATTTAAAAGTCAAATTTATATGAGCCTGTGCCAAAAAATGGAGGTTTTCCAATGAAGGGGGGCCTTACATGAAGATGTATTATTTTCCAGCAATTTTAAATTTGTGGAGTTTTTTGGTTATAAATAATCCTTACATATGTATTAAATGTACTTTAAATGGAAAGAAAAATTACAAATAGCATACCATATTAGTATAAAAGGGTCTTAAGCCAAGTAAGACTGAAAATAATTTAGGGTCAATTTAGGCCGTAGCACATATTTACATTTAAAAATGCATACTGAAGCTATAGGAAATAAAAATTTGTGTCTCTTTTATAATTTCTATACTCAGGTTACATGATACAATAAATCTGAGAATAAAGGGACTCTTGCATTCTACTTTTTTTGCAGACAGTATGGTCTGATACAAAGATTTTTCACTTTTTAGTGAAAAACTCGCATGCAATTTTAGCCTCAGCAGGCTTATATTTGAACCACTTGCTATTTAACATAAGAAAAGAAAGATACTATGTGAAATGAAACAGGTACAAAAGACATTGTGAAGTGCTTTTAATACAAATTTAGTGAAATCTTTATTATGGACTTCAACTTTTATGTACCTAGGTCCTCACATTTAACTTGATCCAAACAGGCCGTTACACGAGGGTCATTTATACAACACATTTTGCACATATTGTCTGAGATAATCTTATTTTCTGTAGATTCAGAGTTCACAAATGAGTAATACAACTGGGTTAAAGCATAGAAACACAAATATTGACACAGGAAAACCTGTCACATAGAAAGTCAGAATGCCATTTATGCATCAAAATTGAAAAAGCTTTGAAATGCTTATTTTGACCATATAATGCCAAAATGGGTAATTTTTGCAGAATTTCTATCAAATAAAAGTTTAAATCCTTTAGTTTCATGCTATCTGACAAATTGACACCATTAAATCATTCAGGGAAGTTGCCAAAGTACAGATTCTATATTTACTGATTTCGCCTCTTAGGTCCGAGTACACAGTTATTTCGTAGTGCATTTCTTTTAGACAATAAATGAAAATAAAAAAAATCCCACCTGCGCTTTCTCAATAATATTTTTACAGTGTGTTGTACTACTTTTGGGACAAATTATATCAAAATTATAGAAAACTTCATCGGCTCTAACTCAAAATATGGACAATTCTATGTTAAGGGGGTCTTGAAATCTTTTGACAGCTTCCGAAGTGCTAATTTTTAACCTTTTTCAGCTGGACCAAATCACTACTTTACTTTGCAATTCATGACCCAAATTTTTTTACAGTGTAATTTCATCCCCCTACTTGCTATTTGAGGCATAAAACATGAAGGAATACATTTGGAAGGGGTACTAAAAAAATTGGCAAGCAACACACTGTCCACACTAGGGACTTTATTCGTGGACAACGAAAATCAAAGGACGATAACTGTGTACTCGGACCTTCTGACTAGACAACAGATAGCTGTTCTGATAATGATTGTTTTGAAGCTGCAAAAATTTGATCAGTCATAGATGAGGCTTTTATAACAACTGTAATATTTTTAGTTTCTGCTTGTGTGTTTACTATTGAAAATATCATTTTTCAAGGCGTCACATGCTAATAAAAGTATTGGATTTAGAACATACATGAAGCTGTTAAGATAAACATGACAAAGGAATATACATACCTGCTCTTTTCCAAAATAACTTTCATAGAAACTTATACGTTCAAAACGCGTACTTATAATCTCGTCCCCTTTTCTTCGAATGTAATCTTCCGAATTAGGCTTATTACCTGGCTTATACTTACATAAGCATCCTGATAGGTGCCATATAGGGAGCATGATCTGCTTACCCTTCCAGAGCCATTGTGATCACCGTTGTTTTTGTGCGGTTCATGTTGTTCTGTCTATTGTTTTCAATGTTGTGTTTTGTGTACTATTGTTTGTCTCTTTGTCTTTTCTTGCAAAACAGGACGATTAAATGTTGCTGTAATATTAATACTTACCCTGGCTGCTTTGTACAAGACCGACACGCTGAGCCAAATCTTTACCTTGCCAGTTCACAAGGTCGACAGAAAGACAATTATAACCCTATCCGGACTCATTATTCTGATTCCAAGTCAACCAGTCTTTGCTTTTAGTCCTTAATGGTGCATGTTAAGCAAAGAATAAGCAAATACAAAAGTTCAAGTCTTTGTCTTGACCACTATGTGTCTTTATTTCTCAACAAACCAAATTACATTGGTATAGAGATACACACAATAAATATTACATAATGTATATGTACAGACATACAAAAGTTATACGGAAGGAAGAAGGATGCAAATATCATAGATTACAGTACATGATATCAAGTACATGACCAAATGATATTGGAACTTGGGACCTATGCCCTCCATCACTTGAGGCAAACACGCTACCACGAGACCACTTAGCGGTCTATTGTGATTTTGTGTCATACAAGTATACACTCTGTTTCTTTTTTTTTCCACTATTAAATGTGTGTATCATAGTAAAGTGTTTTAGTTCTATATATATTAGATTTTCATGTTGATGTTCAAATTTTATATATAAATTGAAAGAATCAAAAAGTATCCGTGTGTGTGTTTTTGATTTAAATATCATTAATAGCGATGAAAATAGTTCACGCATATTGATAAAGACAAAATATTCAAATGGAATTTAAAGCCTATTATAGGGAATCATCTATAAAAAAACGCCTCATTATACATGTATATATTGATGTTTGAAAAAATTACATTAAATTAAGTAGATAATACAGATAAGTGATAAAAAACATGAATATAAATTGAAATTCCCGCATCAAATAATTTCTTCTGATGTTAAGCTTTTTACCATCAAGGTATCCTCCTCTCGTTGGTTGCACACACATTAAATCATAATATTTACCTTTTTTCAATTGTAATGGCAGATTCAAGGTGAGGTTTAATTTGTACTCGATTTTATACATAATTACAGTAATTAATTTCCGTGTATTGGTAATTTTGTGACATCATTGACCCGTACAACTTCCGAGAGAGACAGGTTAACAATGGGAAGTTTTTAAGTTCAATAGATGTAAAAATAAAATCCCTACAATTGTTATATTGTTATTGTACTGGTTTTTCTTTATTATTTTCTGCATTAATCAGGCCGTTGGTTTTTGGTTGTTCAAGGCCGTATGGTGACTTCTATTGAAAACCAAAAAATGAACAACTGATAACAAAAATAGCATCCCTTTGATGGCAAATTATGAAAATTACTTTGACTGGTTGCTTTGTATTAATGTTGTGACAAACATGTTATGTCTAGCAAGCAAACAAACGACAATCATACAAATATAGAATCGTTTTATTACAATAAAGATATTTGAGTTATTTGAAAATAGAAATTTTGTTTGTTTTACATCTACTAACTGTCCTTCAATAAACCAAAAATTAACAAACTAGAAAAAGGTGATGAATGTTGTGTAACCAAATTCCATGTCCGTCAAATGTTTGATATATTATAATATAAATTATCAATACTGTATATTAAAAGCTGATTTGTATTTTTTCTGTAAAAGCATCCAAGATTTTATGACCTAGGGCAATTTCGTCACATATATGGCAGTTATGATTCATTCTAAGGAACCTAAGAGGGGAATTTTGAATTAAGAAAAAAATGAAACAACATATAAATTTCCTGCGTCTGGATGGCTTTTCTGGATCTTCCTTCATCAGGAACACTCAAAGCCGAATATTTGAAAGCCAAGGATTTTATGGATGTATAGAATCCTAAACAGTTGAAGAGCTACATTATCATAAAAGTAACTAAGCAAAATAGCAAAATATATTTTAGGTCAACTTTGCTTGAGTTGGTTAAAACTTTAGTTTCTAATAATTTCAACATTTTTTATTAACGGACAATTTTAAGACAATTCTTAAAATTTTTGTTAAGGACGGAGAACGAATAAAATGGTTTCCGAACAAGGGCAGATTTTAAGAAGTTAAAACAGGTGACAATGAAGTATTGGATTAAATTGGGCATAAAACAGGTGAGCAGTTTGGAGGGAACATTTGTCCTTTTATCGTTTGTTGATGCATACATTTGATAATGTCTTGTGTTGTTTTGTATTTTGTCTTGTATTTAGCATTTTTGTATTTTTGTTTTTATACAATCTTTTTGGTTTCATACCTAAATCAGAACCGTGTTAAATTTCCTGGTTTTGGGCTAGAAAGATCCTAATATGCAGAAAAAAATCTATAGTTTTACATTCAATTATTAAAAGATGCATTTTACATAAGGATACAGTGGTTTCATATGTGCTGTTGTAAAAGTAACACATTGTAAAATGATAAGAAACTTCAATGTCATTAAACGTATATGGGGGAATTGTGAATTTCAATAAATCTTTTATAAAACAAATCGAAATTATACAGACAATATTCCTTATGCACCGTACACTATTCTCTAATGCATCTGGCATGTCATACAGCCTGCGCTGTTTCTCTGTAACATTTTATTGGGAAACTTACGCCTTTCACGGAAATTTTGATTTTTTTGCCGTTTTATTACCATTCTTACCATGTGTCTGCCTTTTTGGTAGATATCTTGAGAACTATATTGTAACACATGTATAAAAAGATCTACTAATAAAGGAACATAACTGGATCTAAATTGATCAGACCTGGCATCAATAAATGTAATCAGTTGTGCCAAGGAGATTCCTGTGAGGTGTACATTTAATCTTGGTTTTTTTATTTTTAAAAGATTTATAAGATGTGCACATCGATAAACTACTAATGTTTCTTACTCGACCAACAGTTGTAAGCTCGTAAAAAATGCATTGTCATTATAAAATATTACAAAAATACTGAACTCCAAAGCAAATTCCAAAAATGAGGAAGTTCGTATAAAATGACAAAATCAAACGCTATGAATCAACATTGATCAACAGAACAAATGAAAAACAACTGCAGTATTCCTGAATTAATTGGTACAGGCATTTTCTGAAAGAACTTGTAGGTTTTATAGCTAGCTAGCCCACCAACTTGTATGACAGTTGTACACGTGTAAACTGTGTGGCTGTTTTATAGCGACCACCTCACCTGTAGTACAAGCTGTATCTATTGAATAAAAAAGTGTTCGGAATCTCAAATGATTGAGAAATATAAATTTTCTGTATGAAAACAACATATATAATATAAACAAAAGTTCCCCTTTTTATCGGTTCTCCACTTCTAGAAATCCCATTTTGATTCGCCATTATGAACATAAAAATGATAAATTTACATAATATGCTTCCTTCCTTTTTTGTGTACATGTTATTGTTTTATATTAACTCATATTTAATTTTCTATGCGATTGTAGATACAAAGCCATGGGGTTTTATTATCCAGGTCATCTTTCTTCTTGTAACTATTATTAGGAAAAACCACAGTATTTTCATATACGCTAGTTAAAGTTGTGGTGATAACGTTACATGTTTTAAATTCATGAATATGATTTTGATCTAGGTTTATTGGTTCGTATGTATTTTCAGATCCATCTGTTTTCCTTGATAATAAATCATTGGTAGAACTGAAGCTTAAAGTTGTTGATTTGGTTGAACGTGTATCAATGTCATAGAAACAAGGTGATGGTATGGTGTTTCCAGCACTCTTTCTATGTTCCTGAGTATGATTTTGATCTAGGTTTATTGATTCGTATGTATTTTCAGAACCTTCTGTTTTCCTTGATAATGAATCATTGGTAGAACTGTAGCTTAAAGTTGGTGATTTGGTAGAACTTGTATCAATGTTTGTCCCAGAGGAATTCATTACAGACGTTCGATATCTTGTATTGTCACCCAAGGTTTCTATACTAACAACATTATAGTTAATGGAGCCTATTTCATCATACTGGCCTTCCCTTTGAACTTCGGATATATCCTTTGATGCTTTCTTAAGTTTCATGTAACAATAAATATTTGAACAGATTAGACATACAATAATTCCTCCTAAAAAACCGCCTGATACCTTCCAAAATTCATTATGCAGTGTCGAATTACATGTACAAGGATTATCTGAAAGAAAATTACGTGAACATTTTAATCATATAAAGTAAAATCACAAAAGTACTGAACTTTAAGAAAAATTCAAAACGGAAAACCCCTTAACAAATGGAAAAAACAAAAGCTCACCAAACACACCAATACCAATACTCAGTTGATAAGAAGACTTTTTTTGCCGAAATATCTTTTTTTATCAAACATTTTAATTGAGTTTACATTCTAAACATGCCAAACACTGCAGTTTCGATGTCAATTAAACGTATCTGCATCCAAACAGATTTAGGACAAAAATAGAGAACAGCGATTATAATTTATTGTGATCACACAATACCGTGTTAACCAAGTTTTTCGATAAACCTCTTTGGATTGTTTTTTTTTTTTTACATTTGGGCTCCCAGAAAATCAATTGGATTAAGTCAAACTGTATATTTGATTAGATATACACATGAACAGATGAAATTTTTTACGACATCATACTCGATACTTTAATGTGTTGAAATTGCCTACATATATTGTTTGATATAATTGAGTTGCATACGATTTCATAGTAACTTTTTTTTAATGTAAAATGCCAGGAAACGGTTTCATGATATATCGTATCTTATACCACCTTCTATATTTTGAGTTGCGTTTTTTTCCCAATCGTTAGTAGTATTTAGAACAGTATTCCTTCCTTCGCCGTATATTATTGTACTGCTTGGTGACGTATCTGAAATGAAATAAATAAGATATTAGCTGTTACATTTATTGTTACTTTAATTAACATCTTTTCTGTCTTTTGGATAACAAGTGATATTTTATATAACACATTTTCATTGAAAAATATTAGAATGCCATGTTCACACTTATCCAATGTGATTAGTACTGTTCAGGCATGCCCATTGTAATCAATTAAGTACTGTTCACTAGCTTTTAAGACAATTCAATTTATTATATGACTATATATTTTCTGTTTTCTCATTGGTTAAAAGCATAAGAAATCATTTTTGATAAAAACGTTATATTCACCGCGGCAAAAATCACGAGAGGTTAATATACGATTTGGAACAACGTCCGTGTACCTATATATAGATTTTTCAAGGTAACGTCAATGACGTAGGTTTATGACGTCAAGTAAATTCCCGTTTTTTCTTTCTTTTTCTTGTTTTCGGTGAAATTTTCTCTTCTTCTTGTTTTGGTGCATATGTTTTTAGTAATCTTTATTGTAAATTTCGACTTATGGAAATTAGAAACTGCAAAGCACATAAAATATTTATTATAAAAACAGGGAGCAGTTTTAACAGTAAATTATGCAAATACTAGAAAATCAAATAAGGATAAAAATTCATATAATAAAGGAGTTGTTGACTTTTGATTTTAGTTGATACAATGATTTATCAACCCAAGTGATAGGACATTCACTCTCGGTCGTTGGCCTCGGTGAATATCATACATTTATATCTCTGGGTTGATAAATCATTGTATCAACCTCATCAAAAGTCAATAATTGTATAATATTACTGGTTTGTACAGGTTAAAAAGAATTACTGCACAGTCTGAACACACACTAAACTGATCTTAATTGATTAAAAGTGAGTAGCATAAACAGTACATAATATAACGCATTGGATGAGTCCGCATATTGACTGAAAGACTGGAAACCATTTAATAATGTATTGTTCTGACTTTTAAGATCAACTCATGTTATTTGTGATCAGAGGGGCAACATTTTGCAACTTCTTGTTAAGAGCGTAAAGTTATCTTTAGGCTTGGTCTGTTTCATTTCAACACACAAATGAATAAGAAACGCTGGTTGCGGAAACTAGTCCTTTTGATATTTCAACCCTCAATTGAAAAATGATTTTTTGAACCGTATTGAAAATAGTAAATAGAACAAATCCATTGTGCGAATGTATGTAAAGATGTCTGATGAAAAAGGCATGTTTTAAAAGTTACGTAGATTTGTTATAAGGCCTTTGGTTTTCTATGCTGTATGCATTTTTCTCATTGTTGAAGGCCGTACGGTTGTCATAATTGCTAACATCTACTTTATTTGAAGTCTTGTAAAGAGTTGTCTTATTCCCACTAATGCCAAATCTCATTCGTATATTAAACGCAAGAATTTAGCATGTGAACAAGAAACTATGTAACATTACATCTGTAAAGGAAGTTAATGTTAACTTATGACTGACTGTAGGACATTATTTACCGTATTGCATTACCGGTATTATGGAGCATCATCGAGCATATTCAGGATATGATATTGTATACAAACCTTTCAAAGAGACGTTAAACTTAGTCTCATGAAATGCTCCATTATTTAAAAATCTGCATACATAAACACCAGTATTCTCGTTTTGAAAATTCAGGATGATTAAATCATAGTTTCTGTCATTTTTCTCAACGAGGTACTTTGACTGGTTCAGTTTCGGATTTTTTAGATTATTTGAAAAGTAGACTACATGGATTTGCGATATATTGTTGGTATCTGGTCCTAACCAAGTCCATTCATCTTCAGAGCCGCAACATTTCAAGACAACTTTTTCTCCTTTTTGAACACTTACTGGGACTATATCATTCAGAATGCCTGAGATTTAAGAATATAAAAATATAAAGTTAAAGTATGTTTAATTGTAATCGTCTGTCTATAAACTTGGGAACACAAAATATTATATTGTTAAGAATCAACATGTCTGTCATATTTGTTTTTCGTGAATTGTTTTGTTATAAATTATGCCATTAGTTTTCTCATTTTAATTGATTTATATTTTTCATGTCAGGGCCTTTAATGACTGACTAAATGGTATGTGTGTTCCTGATGGTTGAAAGCCGTATTTGCTTGCATCCACTTCATTTGAACTTTGTAAGGTAGTGTATTCACTGGGAATAATACCAGATCTTCTTATTTTATACTATGATTAATTTATCTAGTTATGTTTGTTATGTTTCGTTGTTTGTATTATTTCACAAGAAAGGAAGTTATTCATTAAAGTAATCCTTTGGAATATTTTACGGATGCCGTCATCGTTTGATTTACCGTTTAAAATATATTCTTCACGAACGAGCAAGTATATGAACTACAAAGCCATTTCTCCTTCCTTGTTACGTACTAAAGACAAAACCGAATGAGACTTATTGCCGAATTTGACTCTCCAATGTATTTATTGCTATTTTTTTTTTTTTTTTTTTTTTTTTTTTTACAGTTAATGTTTGAATTTTTTTTTGTAATGATGCTGTATGTTTTTCCTCTTTATATGGTCCATGATTGATTATTGTTATTTTGTATATTTTTTGTTTGTTAACTTTGTGCTTGTATATTTTGAATGAGTCTTTATCTGGGATATTCAGCAGTTGTAAATCTGAAGTGATAGTATTCGAAATATGTTGTTTCCGTAGATAATAATTAAATATGATAATATGATGTATCCTACTAAAATAACGGGCCTGCGTTTTACAAAAAAATATATTACGACAAATAATAATTGTCAGTATTGACTAACGGTCATTTTGAGAAGAAAGATTTTTGTTAAAAACAGGCCAGACAGATATTGAATAATTAGATCTGAAAGACGGAGTCGTCATGTCCAGAGTCGGTATTCCTTTTTTGCGCGATGCAAGTAGTTTTGTTTAAAGACATATGACGCGATAACAAAGCCAATTATCATGGCATCAGTTCTTAATTGATGTTAAGAAATCATAAACGCAAGCACAGACGACGTGTGAAAGATTTTTATGTATGATTTGACGTTGTTTTCAGCCAGTTTCACTAAAATGGAGATAACAGTATTGTATTTTTAGCTTCGATGGCATCAATTTGTGATTTGATGTTCCAAATACCCGTTTACTGGTTCCGCTGACGCGTCGCTAGTAAACTTAATGTGCGACCATCAAATTCCCAATTGATGCCATCGGAGCTTTAAATACAATACAGTTATCTCCTAAATATCTCCAATATTATTTTGCGTCTTCTCGTGTTTTGTTTGAAATTGGGTTTTTCTTTCTCTGACTTCTTGTTCGTGTTATTCTATTGTTATATATACCTGGCACCATTTCTATATAAACTGTTATCACCATCAACATGATCAAAGATATTATTGGTGGCATTTTAAAACTCTATCCCTTAGCTATGTCTGCAAAAAGAAATCAATATTAACTGCAGTTATTTAAATAAGGTTAGTTAAAATTCCAAAACCGGAAGAACAAACAAGTGCTTATCGAGTTTATCATGTATCATATTTGCGGTTTGATTAGAAACTTTCAGTTTTGCTTATCAGTAAATACATACCAATGAAGTTGTCTATACTGACCTTAATGGGTAGTCATTAATTATCCTTCGCCCATTATAACAAATAATGATATGATTTTTGTTTAAATTTTATGGAGTCCTTAAATTCTACTTTTATTGAATACGTGCCGATGTCCTACTAAAATGTATTTGTAGAGACGGTATATGTCTATTTTGCAAAATTTTCAACTATTTCGCCTTTTAAAGTCACCGACTATGATAGACGTACAATACTACAACATCAGACGCACGATTATTTTTCACCATACTTACTGAGACGCTAGAATATGAGCAAGGCCAGATCAATAACACAGTCACATTTTTTGCAAAAACACTTACAAATATACATTAAAATACACTAAAAAAACTAAGAAACACACATAATAGTAGTCTCACTTGGTTTAACTACTAGAGTTTGAACTGATTCCGATAGTGTACCCTCGTGTTTGTTCCTTTGTATGCAATTCTTAAGATGCTAAGAGTCAAGTCAAAGAGTTTTAAAAATATTAGTCCAGGCATCACAGTGGATGTATATTGCTTTTTAGATTTTACCCTATCATGTAAAGATGTCTAATACAAGATAAGATAAATCAAAATCTGTTTTCCTTTTTAATAACTCAAAATGTAAATCTTGTTACAACCTTTTGCTAGATTAGTCACAAGTCAAAGAACTTTTAACAAAAGCATTATATCCTCCTGAGACCATAACACATCAACCTCATGTAGGGACGTAAATTGAATAGGACAACAGCAAAATAAAAATTGTTCGATAAATAATATTACTATATAACTATTGTATTATGTACTTTACCATTTAGTTAAATGTGCATTTTCTCCACGTTGACTGTAATACGTAACAGGTTTTTCATAATACAAAGGCATAATCGGAAAATTTAGTTTTTGTCGTTTGTTTATAATTTAATTGTGTAGTGTTTTATTTCCTCCTATCGACCTTTTTATATCATTGTGTTACACTAACAACTTCCGATGGATAATTGGTCAACAGTCTGTTATTCTTTTGAATCATGTTCAAAACACAAATAATATTTAGGCCGTTTTGACTATGTTTACATCAAAACATCTCGTGAAATACATGTATATAATTTTTGTAATACGTTTACCACTTTGCTTCCATTCCGATATTAAAACAAAGACATACGCATATGAATCGTTAACCAGTAATTGCTTAGTGATTCAGAAATATTTTCAGTTTATTCTATAACACACACCTAGTCGTCCAAAAATAATACATACTTAAAGGATGTTTGATACTCTGTTTCAAAATAACAGGCTTTTAGAAAGACTGGTTTAAATTGATAGTACTAGTATATATGAATAACGAAACCAAAAAAAGCAGAAAAAAAAATAAGGGCCCGTGTTCTTGTTTTTGTGATATTAGCCTTTGAAAATTATGTGGAAAATGATACTCTCTAGATTTTTCATACACTTAACATTGGCTCATTTTTTGTTTGCAAAAACTACTAATTTTGGATTGGATTTTCAGAAATGGATTTCTAAACTATATCTAATAAAATCATAAAAAGAAAAGTAGGGCTTAATGGCCAAAATTTTAAATGCCACTACATAGATAAAACCAGAGGATTCCGAATATCTGACAAAAATTCAAAAACAAAAGGAGCGAACATCTTTAATTCAATCAACAATGTTTAAAGCGTATCCAAAAAAGGTTATCACTAAAAGGATATTATATTTCCGAAGTTTCGGGTTACAGATAACGAAGAGGTTAAGTAGAAAAGTTGAACATGTTAAAGAGGGGCGAAAGATACCAGAAAGATATTCAAACACATAAATTTAAAATGAACTGAAAACAAACCAGTTGATTGATGACCTATTTTAAACGGGAAGTTTTTAATGTAGCAAAATGTTACAAAAAGGTCAATACACGGAAATAAAATAAAATACAAACGTTAAAAACTCAATTTCCGATTTCTCTACAATTCAAATCTGTCATACACTGTATAGTTAAACTAAAAACAAAGCAATATTATCACCTCCCCCAAAAAACAATGATGGTCGCATGTGTTCCGAAAGAGTAAATAGATCCTGCTAAAAAAAATAACAGATGTCATCGTACGACTCTTAAATACGTCCAAAGTTTTTTGTTGACTTTTGTCATCTACGACTTTTGATCAAATGACTGCTTGTTATGTGAACCTTTAAAAGTTAATACGTATATAATCATATCCGTTATGATATATAGAAATAAGAAGATGTGGTATGAGTGCGAATGAGACCAATCTCCATCCAGGTCACAATGTGTAAAAAGTAAACAATTTAAGGTCAAAGTACGGGTTTCAACAAGGAGTCTTGGCTCACACCGAACAGCAAGCTATAAATGGCCCTTAATTGACTGTTGTAAAACATTTAAACAGGAAAAACAAAGGACTAATTTATATAAAAAAAAAACGAGAGCGAGAAACGCTTATGAACCACATTAACAAACGACAACCACGAAACAACAAGCTCCTGACTTTGGACTGGTGCAAACAAATGCAGCGGGTTAGAACGTTTAACATGCGCCAATCTTCGCCTTATGCATACTATTAATGTCGGTGATGATTTCAAATTCTTAATCAATAGAGTATGATTTTTCTTTGGATCAAAACACCGTGGAACCATAATCTTTAATAGACAGGAATCGACATCTTAACATATTCAATAAAATGTATATATAATTTTCACCACTGAAATATATTTTACACTTAATTTTGAGTAGACGTAACACATTCGTTATCGAAAAATAATCATGTAGTCTATTTGGCCTTTCTAACCTTTTTGATTCAAGCGTCACTGATGAGTCTTTTTAAATCCTTGTATCTATGATGAGCTTATTCATATACTGATTCAATTGGGTTCGCGTATGTTATTAATCAAATTGAACCGAAAAGTTTATTTTATTTATCCTCTAAGAATATGTACAACCTTTCTGTATTTTTTCTGTACTTTTTTAAATTGTACGTAGCATATAGCTATTTAAAGGAGTAGGTCCGGTAAGGGCCGATTTTGGCCTCAAATTTCAAGTTCATCTTACGAAAGATTTTAGACACTTTTTAAACACTTAAGTGTCTATTTCAATTGATTCGATTAGTTTATGTGAAAGATTTTAACTGATTTAGTCATTAAAAAACGCGCCGATTCAAGCTTAAATATGAAAAATCTATCAAATATGCCAAAAAAACGTCACTTTTCAGATGGTTTTTGTCAAAAATGAAAGTGGCCGCATCCGTGTTCATCCTCAACCTTTATATATATTATGTATTATCATCAAATGCAACTTACATTTCAATATTATGAATGAACACGAATGCGGCCACTTTCATTTAAGACGAAAACCGTCTAAAATTTAACTAAAATGCTAAAATTTTGAAGATTTCAGTAATTTAGCATGACTTAATGATGTTAGTACCCGATATATGTGCATTGTATTGTAAGAAACAGCCCATATATATGTAGCAGAAGCATTCTTCTTTACAATAAATAGCTTAAAGATTACATTTTCACAATTTTGTAAAACTGCTATATTTTGGGGCCAAAAAGGGGTCTTACTGAACCAACTCCTTTTATAACTTATTAAATATAGCTAGGCCAAGACATCGAATGCATGATATTCAACAAATATCAACAAATCAGCAACAAATATACTGACGGACCTTAGAAACCCAACACTCGATTATTTCATTTTTTTCTTCATCTAAAAATACACATTACGCATGAAATACTGAATTGAATATAAATTTGATTCATTTTTTCATCGTCTAAGGTAAGTTTGAAATTCGAAAGGTGAAGTGATAACGTCACGCCTAACGTTTAAATCATGTGGTATGCACTACACTCCTGTGTTTCTCTTAATTATTGGTCATATTAATCGTCAAAGTCAAAGACAGCTGTTAAAAAATCCCTAAATGATTGACAGAAAGCGTAATGTTAACCCATTCTGTTGGGAATGGTTTTATTCAAGTTTCCCCCTTCTGATTTTGCCTATTTCGACCAATTTCAGTCTGTATTTGCAGAAATGTGGTGCACACTGAAACCTTTATAAACAATATTAAATTGAATTATGTAGCATTTAAGTATACGAAAAACATTGCTGATGTAAATCTGCCTGTCGTGACATCCAACTGACGTTGCAGCCGCTATACTCTGTTGCAAATGACGTTGCCTAATTTAATTGACATGACGCAACGATAAGCTACAGGTTGATTGGGTGCATAGGTGGTTACTTACGTGTATTGACTACCTGCTCGGAAGTTTCAAGGACTTAAAATTGATTTTAAACGCGAATTTGTTCTCAAAAGAACGTGCACTAAATTATGTCTGTAAATTTCTAATAATTTTAATTCAATTTTCATTTCTCAGTAGAGACAAAAAAGAAAATCAACAATTTTTTACTGATTAAATCTTGGCAATGAATTCAAGGAAATGATTAATGAAAAAAAAGTCTTTAAAAAATCAGGTATGCGCTTCTAGTATCGCGTCAAGAAATTCCTGCGACCTCAAAAATCCGCAATGGTTGATTGTCTGAGGAAATTCAGGAATTAATCTATCAATTCAAAAAGGATTACGGGAAGCATTATAAGCAATGAAATGAATAAAAGTCATGATTTGATGAAAAAAAATAACAAAATATGTGTCGCGTTTTTAAAGTCCGTGGGTATACTTAGGTTTTAATATTGCTTTCAACAAGACTTTTTTAACACTGAAAATGTAACAGATGAACTAAAGGAAAGATATGAACAAGGTAACACTAACAATAAAATGTCTGTCATTACGACAATTTTAAAGGAAGTCCGACTAAAAAAAGAGGAGACAGATACCAAAGGGACACGCAAATTCAACAGTCGATAATAAACTGACAACGCCATGGGTACAAAAGAAAAATAAAAACAACAATTTATGAAACACCAACCGAACAAAAATTTTTATGTAGTGACATTTTTGAGATTGATACCTATTTTTAAAATATTCTACAGGTAATAAATCAGAAATTAATCAACCCGATAAAAACTGCAGAACTGCTGGAATCCTATTTTGAATGTAGACTATTTCAGGAAATGAACAAGATCATTGACCTTCCGTGGAAGCGTTTTGCAGAAACTACTGGTGATGGCAATGGGTCTGTAAATAATGGAATTCGTTTGATCTCTACATCAAAGTAAATCTTTGTGGTATAGATTAATCGTAACGTTATTGTTTTGTTTTACAAACGGATAGTTTCTGCCTGCAGATAGCTGGTGACCGTATTGTGAATAACGTTATCCGACAAACATGTTGATATACGGAAAGTTGAAACTGCTAAGTGAATATAGCGTTAACGAGAGCAAGTGTCTAGGCAAAATGAACAGACAGAAATCACTAGAGTTATCTACAAAGTGTTCACTTTATGATCTCGGGAAATACATCAACTATAAGAGGAAAACAAAGGAACAACAGGAACACTGAAGTGCAACAAAAACAAACGCCAGCATTCATAGACATGAAGTATTTGATAACAATTGCCATATACTTGACTTGTTCTAGGAAATTTTAAGAAAACATGATGGGTTTGTACACGTTATCATCATAGTTAATTGTATGAAAAAATACTAAACAGTACCGTTTAGAACAATAAATCTATCATATTTGAAACCGATCTCAGTGTAATAATCTTTTTAAAGATGTTTGAGAAAATGTGGTTTGGTTTGCCATGTCTGTTGAATGTTTCACCGGATCTTGCTACATACCAACACCGTAACTCAGACCCGATCTATGTTGTGTTTACGGGTTATATATGTATGCTATCAATTTTTCATTAGTAATACACGTTTTGTTTAGGGGCCTGCTGAAGCCCGCCTCCGGGTGCAGGATTTTCTCGCTGTGCTGAAGGCCCATTGGTGGCCTTCGGTTGTTTTCTGA